CTTGAAACAGGCAGCATCATTTTAGAAGTACGACTCGTTTTTGGACAGAATACTAACAGAACAAATGTTTTTCGGCATGCAGGCAAGCTGCAGATTCAGAGCCTACATGCAAACTGGGCTTCTCACCAATCAGGAGGAAGTCGTCGAGCGGAGTGAAGTAGGGAAGCAAATGCTATGGATGTGGAGGCCAACAATTGCGCAAAGATTGCAAATCCAACAACGAGAAATGATACGTGTGTGTTAAAGTAGGGCATATAAGTAAGGTATGTAAAGCCAATACGAAACAGATCTCTGAGTCAACAGATTCAGGCGCCCCGGAAGAAATTCAATTTATACAATAATCTAATACCAACTCCATTAAGGCAGTAGGTAGAAAAATCATACCAATGAAGATTGATGGAATAAAAATACCAATGGTAGCACAGATGCTATGTGAAGCATAACGAATGAAAAGACCCCATTTGAAATTAAATCTTTAATATGATTTAAGAAAACTGACCGCAATTTTTCGAGCTATACAGGGCACAGGATCAACTGCTGTGGATGGGCAGTTGTTAACGTGACTTACGGAAAGACTACACGAAAGCTAAATCTGTATGTAGTAGAAGGAAACCTGGACACACTGTGTGGGCGAGAATGGATCTCCCAATCTGCAAATAAATTTATTTTATTGGGATCTTTAAAACAATTCTGTCAACACCAACGACATAGATCTATAAATGTTCTCGACAAAACGGACAAAAATGGGCGGTGTACGGATCACTGGCAACTACAAACCGACTGTAAATGCTCAAATGATCATTGATAAACATCCGATTCCGAGGACAGAGGATATATTCACAGTGTTCGCGCACTTGGATGTGACTGATGCATATTCACATTTGCGCATTGATGACGAATTCGCACACGTAGTGACATCGAATACGGCAACACACTCATTCGACCGACTCGTGCAGTGTACGGAGCAGCGAACATACCGGAAATTTGACAGAGAACAATGGAGGCCACATTGAAAAATATTCCTAACGTACGTAACTTCTTTGTCGATATTCTAATATTTGCAAAAGATGTTGATGAGTTGCTAAAAACTTTAGAAGCAATATTAGGAAAATTACAGAGCCTGGGATTTAAATTGAACAAATCAAAATGTGTATTCGCCGCATCTTCGGTTGAGTTTCTGGGACACAAGATTGAAGCAGAAGGCATACATAAATCAACTAAGCATATTGAGGCCATCTTAAAAGCACCGAAACCATCTACAATCGAACACGTGCAGCTGTCTCTTGGTCAGCCTTGGACGACAATTCTACTGGTCAGAAGAGACGGAATTAGCTTACAACAGTATCTAACAAATCAAACACTTCCATTAGTGCTAGCAACAGACGCCAGTAAAATAGGTATAGGTGCTGTACTATCGCATCGTTTGGAAAATTATGGCGAACGTCCAACTACATACGCAAGCCGTAAAATGAGTCCCACAGAACAGCGATATACACAAATCGACAAGGAAGCTCTAGAAATTGTATGGGCGGTGCGAAGATTTATAAAATATTTATACGCCAGAAGTTGGACATTGGTTACCGATAACAAACCACTCGCTCAAATTTTACACCCTACCAAATCACTACCGATACTATGCATTTCCAGGAAGGCAAACTATGCAGATTTTTAAAGCAACTTCAATTTCACAGTAATTACCAAAACATCAAAGGAAAATGTAAATGCTGATTACTCTTGTAATGGTAATGGTATTCATTCTAACACAGAAAATCGGGACGAATTCGATCATTTTATAATAAGATAAATAAATCAGCTTCCAGTTACAGCTTCGCTAGTTGCTCGAGAAACCAGAAAATACCAGCATTTGGGCAAAATCTTGCAAATACTGGAGAGCGGCCAATGTCTTACAAGAAATGGATAAAAATCACCAGAGTGCAAGTATGAGATACCATCTGGCTGCATTACTTTCGAACATCGTGTGGTTTTCCCGACTAAACTTCAAAAGCTGATCCTGGACGAACTACACAGGGCCCACTTGGGTATAGTAAAAATGATGGGTATTGTACGCTCTTTCGTCTACTGGTCAGGAATCGATAAGGACATTGAGAATGCGGCAAGAACATGCGAGTTCTATGCAAAGCATGCGAATCGACCTTCAAAATGATTCGATCACTATTGGGAATATCCTAAGTCGCCATGGGAGCGCAATCACATTGACTTCGCGGGACCATTTGAAGGTGCTATGCTTTTGATTGTTACGGATGCATACTCAAAGTGGTTGGACGTTAAGATAAAAAAATCAATTACGGAAACAACAACAAGCGAATTACTAGATGAGTTATTGGCTATGTTTGGCGTCCCCCTCATGGTAGGGACAAATTTCACTTCGTACGAATTCAAGCAATACCTCACATCTGTTGGCGTCAAATATCACAAGTTATCAACACCCTATCACCCCGCAACGAACGATCAACCAGAAAGAAATTTCTAAACGGTAAAAACGGCGGCAAAGGCAATGGGAACGACATCCGATTAAGGATGTAGTTTACTTCATTTCTGGAAATCCGCGAATGAATAAGTTTGGGCGACCTTCATTATGAAATTTGACCCAACAATAAATACCATAAAAGACTTATCAATCAGATACGAGGCACAGGGTGGAAGAGGGAAGACAACAACAACAAAATATAGAGGGACGGAATCCAGAAAATACACCTTACTACACAGCAGTGAACATCAGCATAACTAGAAATTCACCACCTGCTTATAACATCACAGATCAGAGACCAAGGGAGTACATCATTGGATCAGATTTAACGACCGACAATAGACAGGACAGTCATGCCGACAAAATGTTAGCTTCAGAATAATAGTTCACTAAATCAAGATGTACTGATGTCAGCACCAAGAGGATCGCCAATTTTACGGGGATCGTCATCACCTATAGAAACACCAATGCGAACAGAGCAAAGTGTACGTCGCTCAACTCGAGTACATAAGCCAAGATGAATGAAGAAATGTTATGCTTGACTTTAATTTAAGCTACTATTGATATATACATATATTGAATTGCGATCTCTATTATCTCTTTTTGATGAAATGGCTTAACACACGACTTGTGAAATTACCTAAGTTAAGTAAAGATGAATTAAGAACACAAAACATACTCACTTACTAATGTTACCTTTTAAAATAAACTAAATACTACCAGCCATGTCAGCTTTAAAAAAATCCAAAAGCAGATTACTGCTAATCAAGCATACATTGTTGTCTTTGTGATGACGCGTTGCATTAAATAGAGTGGGTACCACCAGCCTATTGGTGCAACTCGCGCAGGGAAGCTGATGGCGAGATGCGGGTATTTGTGCGGCAGACTGGGACTGTCTTCGAGCGGGACTGGGACTGTTAGATTCCGCAACCTAAATGATAGGTTCATAGCCGTGTCTAGGCTCAATGAAATAGCATTAAATTGCTTGGTGTATAAGAGGTCTACTCCTCGTGACTTGCTGTTAGTAAGTGCCATTCAGTTTCCGACTTCAAATCTGCAGCCTACAACTCTGATTATCAATAGCTTATCTCGAATGGAAGTTTGCCCATATGATGAGACATTTAATCACTGAAAGTTCACTACTCAGCGAATTTGAAATAAGCAAGGTGATGTACTCACGGGGTCATATAACCCTAGAAACATTTATTATTCTATTCCATGAAAATGGCAATAAATATGACGACCTTTAATCACTAACCTTGAATTGACGTTCTTAGTTATTGATGCTTTAAGGGAAATAATGCGATCAGGCTTCATCTAAACCTCAACTACTTTGGATTTCGATTTAGTTAATTACTTCTTTCAACTTCACAAATTATTCTTTCTCAGCTTTCCAATAAATCTAGGTGACTTCCTCCCAATGTACTCATATCGTCCCACTACTCTTTATTATTTAATAAATATTTTCGTTCACTCTATATTTTCCCACAGTCGATTACTAATATATGCTGATGACGTAAAGTTGTGCCTTTTGTATAAGGGTACGGACTCCTGCAATCTATTACAAGTTGAAACTGAAGAAAAACTTCTTTTGTACACACTTTTTATATTCCTTGTCCGGACTATTCTTTAGCTTGCCTCATGTAACTTGTCCCCACAATATTCGCTTCATCAAGACAAAATTGAATATATACTGGATCAGCTTTTGTTGATTGCACTTCGTGGATTAATAGCCACATGTCACATTTTTCCAAAATGTGTTAAGTTGCGGCCTGTACGTTTTCCCATAAGAAAACACATTTTACACATTTATCAAAATCGTGACATTTTTGAAAAATGTGTAAATTCGCCTCGAACATTTTGATGTAGTGAAATATGTGAAGGTATCATAACCATAAACAGCTGATATATCAACGAAGGTAAGCGGCAATTTTAAATAAGAAACTTAAAATTGAGCTAATCCCACAGTTTTTACCAGTTAAACGTGGCGAAATGTCGAATAGAGTATGTGAAATGGAGCCCTTACTTCGAGATCGCATTATTTGGGTTTTGGAAGAAAAATTTGTGGCGCCTTTGTAAATTAAAGCAACTCGATCAGCTGTTTATTTAAAGAAGCGGTGGAGAAAGGCTATATAATGGGTCTTGGTGTTTCATTGACATCTGTTATGTTTGACTTTTATTTGTTAATTCGATAAATACAACTTCTTAGCATGAAGTTATAGCCCTATTAAAATGGGATCTCTATATTACTTTTATGAAATGCTTACTACACGACTTGGGAAATTAGCTAATTTGATGTTACGGAACTGCTTGTTTCTCGGTGGGACGCGCCGGATGGCTCATCGGTTTCTCTGGGTGTAGTCCCATCCCTGGCCCGCGGTCCGCACCATCGATAACAACAAAGCTACACGTCTGTAGCAAAACAGACTTACACAACACTATGCAAAACGAACCACAAATCGATAACGTCAAATAATCGGAACTCCTTACTCATGAACAAAATAAACAGCTGTAACAACTATGAAAATGTAAACAACAAATGTGAGACACTCAATATAAATTAACAAAAAACACTATTTATCCACCTTACTCTTCCAGATCGGGCCCCGGTACCGGACCCAGCGTACCCGCCCAACCATGAGACGAGCACCTACACTCGTCTCCCTCATTTTGTCCATTAGATGGCCATCAGCCTGTGCCGGCTGTTATGCCAATTCTCCCCAACGAAGAAAATTTAACCGAACATTTCTCTCATCAGATACGGTATATAATTGGTTGCGTTTTCTTAAAGTGTATAACAATTATAAGCATTGCTTATGGCATTTATCTTTGCAGCTATTTCGAATCTCATGCAAGTGGATATTTGGTTAGCTTCACTGGTGCGTATAATGGTTTGTGCATTCTTATAATTATCGGCATTAATATTTCTTTCTAATTTGCACGAGGTCTCCCTTCAGATGAATTAACACTTATGCACGTGAACGCTTCTTACACGGGTGCGTATTAATATTGCATATTTATATTTATACTTATGGACAAAGTGTATTAATGCCTACATTTTTCTCTTATCTTGTAGAATTCCCTGTTTTTTTATTTTAACAGCACTAAATGGAACAGGCGACGAAATTCCACAAAGATATTGCTAGTCGCCGCAAAAGAAACACGCACGAAGGCAATTTGGATGCAATCGTTGCGCCAATTTAGGAACAATGTGCCCAAAACTGGGTATACCACGAATATCGGTCGTGCAACAGGTAGGTGATATGAATGGTATTAAATCGCTTAATTCTACCTAAAGAGCTCTCTGGGGAGGTAAGGGGCGATGTAAATGGATAATTCCAATTAGGTAAGTATGTGAGCATAGTTCGCGCAAGTGTTAATTTTAAATGTTTATCTCTTCAGGCGCAGATGCATCACCTTTGGAAATTCCCTCACCGTTCGCACTCTAAAGTGAAACTCGGCGTAAGTGCCTATGTATGTATAGACATGATTTATAAATGCAAAAAAAACTAAATTTAACGACAAAAAAAATCTAATAGAGTAGCGCTTTTATAGTAGTTTTAAATGACGACAGTGTGTTTCGGGCGTATTATTGTTTCGCGTATTATCGCTCTTGGGCACTATTTCTTTGACAATACGTTAGCACATAAAGAATTATCTTCGCAATTAAATAATAAAGAAAGCCCGTCATGAACAAATGTATGTCCCTTGATTTTTTCTCTTTGTTATGCACATGCCCTTAGCCGGCAAAATAAAATATCCAATTTTCAAATTTTCTTAACGGTGAGCCGGTACGTCCGCTGTGGACCGCTGCCAAAATCGAACTCTCTTTACTTTTGGGCAGCAACATCATCGGTGCCGAATTTCGGCACACGCATACATAGGCGAGACGGGCACCGTTGCTGCACATCTGCACAGCTGCATTTTTTTGGGTCAATGGCCCATATGACGGTCAAGGGCATATACAAGGGCATGCGATCCACTCAATTCATATTCCCTTTAAGAGCGAACTGAGCGGCCAATAGCAATCGTCGCTATTGGCGCCGTGGATCGCAAGTCTGGCGTTGCCACCCTTAAAAAATTTGGGCTCCGCCGTGGGCGCCGCTTCACCCCGCATACTCTGATCCTATGGCGAAAAGATATCGGCGTGGCCGATAATATCGCACGCAACCAACTAGGAAACCCTCGGTGCTACCGATAACGTAAAATGCAACATTGAACAACTAAGTAAAAGTCCTGAATCCATAATGCAAGTGTGCATATCGGAGCTGAAGTGAATACACCGCTTCATATCCTGATAAGAGGCAACCAGAGATACCACAATTCAGCGAGGTTAAGGAAGTGCTAATTAATCACCTCGATGGCATAAGAAACATTTACGCAGAGTTTTAAATTCCGTCAACCAGCTAGACAATCGCGAAACAGCTAACAACCTTTGAAGACGTATACGGCATATAAGCAAGGTGTGCAAATCCAATACGAGATCTCCGAGTCAACAGATTCAGACGAAATGGAAGCCATACAATTTAAGCAACAATCTAATATCAATGCCATCAAGTATGTGGGTAGAAAAATCATAGCAATGAAGATGGATGGAATTTAAATACCAACGGAACTGCACACAGGTGCTCCGTGCTGGTTTGGTTTACTGGGATCTTTACAAACAATGCTGTCAACACCAACTACATAAATCAGGACATGTTCTCGACAAAAGGAAGCGCGGTGAAAATAATAGTGGCGCAAGCGGCGGCACTGACTAAGAGCACTAACCAAACAACATATAGACTGGACAACCAGTGGAAGACGCTGGGGCCTTTTTTATGCGGCTGGTTCAAAGTCGCCTTCGTTTTTGTTCGGGTTCGAGACACGCTCGCACGCTCAGACAGCAGAGAGTAAGAAATACATATGACTTGTGTGATAGAAACTGCTTTAGCTTACTCTCAGTGCTTTCAATTTGTGTATTTACCGTTGTACTGTCTGTGTATGTGCCCGCACAAGCAAAAATACCCACAAATTCAATTTTTCTCAAAAGTCGGTGGCTTTCTTCCATTTTGAAGGGACGAGTAATATGAAATAATAAAAGGGTTTGCCACGTCGTTGTGAAATTCTTGCATTTTAGCTCGTTATCGTTGTTAAGGGTACCTAAGCATTGCCATGTGCGCATTTAAAATATTTTGGACTCGCTATTCACGCACACTTGCATATTTTGTGAATAGAACATTTTATGCGCGTGTGTGCTGTTGGTAGCCTGCCTGTATGCCCCTCGCAAATTTGACAAGATTTGAACCTTTTGTGATTTCTGTATTTCGGGAGCTAAACACACACACACAAATGTGTGTAAGTGGGCAGATCATGGGCGCAGAGGAAAATTCATTATTGGCCTCGATAGCCTCTCTTACGACAATATTGTCAAACTTGAGAAAATCCCAAGCGGGCAATAGATGATGATCTGAAGGAACAAAAAGGCAATACTTTCCACGTTTACGTATATGACATAATAATATTTTCAGCTAATGAAATAAAGTTCTTAAAACAGTGTTCGACGAAAGCATAAAAGTGCCTTAGGAAAAATCTAAGTTTTTCCAAAAAAGTGTGGAATGCTTGGCATTCGTTGTGACAACAGGCCAATTTCTCTCGAATAAAAATCGAATTGACAACGAATTAAAGCTTTCGAAAAATTGAAGAAATAATGGATTCAGAGATGGTCACGGTTGTGATTTTAGTCAGGCGATTAACCACAGTTCTATGGCACACGATTAAGGAGTCGTGTTGTCACAAAACAAGCGCACAAATACCAAGATTTCACGTACACTACGCACAAACGGGGTAACAGTGGAAATAAATAAAAGGGAACTCCTCCCAATTGTGTGGCACTTCAAAATCTGCGGTATTACCTTAACGGTGATCACCAATCACTGACAAGCACTATGTCAGAAGAGAACCCAAATTCCATGGTAAAGCGATAGGAGGCGGTTGTGACGACAACGCACATGTTTTCAATAAAGAAAAAAATGGCTGACGCTCTATCGCGGGAACACGTAAGTTCCTTAGAGAATTCACCGGAATTAGATATTTTCACTGTTTATAGTGAACAATAAAACAACACATACAATTACAATAAAAAAAACCGATTGAAATCATACATGCAGCTCTAGTAAAAATTGAAACGCACATAAGAGAAATAATCTAAGGAGCTTAAAACAAAAATTTGGACAAACAAGGACAAGGGACAAGAACCAATAGAAAATAGCAAGTGGTGAACAAAGTTTGGATAAAGACTTACAAACGACTTAGGTATTATTAAGTATTAAGCTATTAATTCATAAAAAAAATGTTGTCTATGTATTAGGTTAAAGCATTACCCACAATATTTTTGACGACTTTACATAGACGGTGACGTAGCAATAATGGACGAATAAGGGTACTTAAGACACACGACTAACGTGACATCATACAAAACTTACTCTGAGACCAGCAATAACTTAGACTTCTTCTCCAAGGAGCACACGAGACAGGTCCTTACCACGGATATCAGACATATAGAAACATTGCTGGCCCCTTTAGGAGTTCATCATCGGCATGCCCGTAGTATAAACATACGAAGTACTGCATTAAAAGTAATATCGGTAAATTCCGAATATGATGATTGGGAGGAAAATTAGATCCAAACAGTGTCAGTTAATAGGATCAGTAAATAAACAAATAAATATAAATACAAAAATGCAAGTTATGCCTTACGAGATCACTAAGCCTATTAAATCCCATTCAGAAAACGGACAGTCTGGACACAACAACAATATGAAACACATATTTGTTGCTTTTCAGGCCCCTGCTAATTGACGTAACGCCTTCAGCAATAGCAAAAACATGAAGCTCCCCAGTACAACAAAAAAAAAAAACAAGTAAGAGGTTCAAGTCGGGAGCTCCCGTCTAGGGGATATCCTGAACCCTCTTTCTTCAACACCTAATGCAGCACTCGCTACGCGCTCGTTTGTATTAATAAACGTAAATTAAAAGAAAGTTTCTTTGGCAGGGTTCGAACTCGCAACTAACCGCACTAATTGCCGCTGTCTCTACTCAACAGCCACAACAGCCAAAAAAAAAAAAAGAAAAAAAACAAGTAAGACGTTCTAGTCGGGAGCTCCCGACTAGGGGATACCCTGAACGCTCTTCTCCCAACATCAAAAGCTGCCCAAAAAACAGGTTTGCGATATAGATTTCTATCGATTACTTGGAAACGGGGCATGTTATCGATTATCGGAAACAAACTCGATCTGCGCAGGCACTAGGAGGACCTACATATAGCTCTTATAGGCTCTGAGATCCTAGAGTTCATACATACGGACAGACGGACAGACAGACAGACGGACATGGCTAGATCGACTCGGCTGTTGATGCTGATCAAGAATATATATACTTTATGGGGTACTTCATGGGATGCTTTCTTCTAACTGTTACATACATTTACATTTTGCACAAATACAATATACCCTTTTTTACCATTTCCAATTGGTTCAGGGTATAATTATAAGCAATAACAATCAAGTCTGCTACAAAAATCTTGGTCAGAAATGTAGCCCAATAGAAGAATCGAGCCCGTCCTGCCTAGACTTTGCCCGATGGGATTATAAATATCTCAGACTCCTGGGAACTGCATAGCGATCTCCTGTCACTAACTGTGGAGGCTAGCACATAACCCACGACTTGAAAAATCCAGCAAGCAGCTCAACAGTCGGATCGAAGCAAGTTGTGAAGTAGCTCAACTCTCTATTGTCAGAATGGAGAGACGAGAGGCCTCATGAAAGAGGTCATTCGCGCACGGCCGCCGAACTAAAGGAGGTACTTAGGCTCCAAATCGTTGGGCACTTCAAGCAGAAAATTGAAGCCATGGACTACACAATCGATTCCGGCTACTCTCTGTGGAAGGCTACTAGGTCCCTTAAGCGCCAGCGACTGCGGCATGTGCCGAACAAAACTACAACTGGAGCATACTCTCAATCAGATAACAAGTAAGCAGAAACTTTCTCCTCCCACCTGAAAAGTGGGATCCAGCCAGCAGTTGCGGCTGATGAGAGTTGGGCTCCCCGCTGCAGATGGACTTGCCAATAAGAACTATACGAGTGGAAAGGGTGATCGATGTGGTCAACCTTCGCTGAGAATAAAACCACCGGGGCACGATAAGATTAGTCACGCCACTTTGAAGGCTATGCCGAAGCGACCGATTATTTTTATTGTATTGATTTATAACGCAATACTAAGGATCCAGAACTTTCTGATCAGTTGACGGCTGGCGAGAATTATAATAATCTATAAGCCTAACAAGCCAGAGGATGCCCCTGTGTCATACCGACCAATCAGTGTTCTTTGTTCGGTCTCAAATTTTGCAAGAAGCAAAATACCTGTGCGTAATCCTGGTGAATGGCTGCTAAGTCGAC